CATTAATCCACAGGCAAACATGTTAAATTGTTGCCGAGTTTTAATGTATTATAATTATATCATAGTAACATATCATAGTAACATAAAATTTTGTATTGAAATAGGATCAATATATCTTTGTGCATTTGTAGTTTTTCTTACAGTGGATAAAAATCAAATGTTCGTTTGAGTTTACCAGTTTAATCTAAATATGTTTTATAATTTGGTTAACTAGGATTTAGGTTTTTTCTAAAAATCCAGTGGCGGACTATCAGCATAAAAATATTTAGCGCCTACTCCCCCCCCCACCTGGAGTCAACCACGCCCAGTACCAATAATACCCGGTCCGCCAAAACAATGTTGACTGCGGTACCAGAAAAATCGTAGATCCGCCCCTGGCTGATTTACATAAACTTTGAGCAATCAATTTATTTTTACCATAAACATAATTCAGTGCTATTTCTTGTAGATTATTGTGTAAAAGAATTGACAGGGAGAATGTTTGGTTTAACAAAGCCAAGGGACAAGAGCCAAATCAGCATAGTAATTTAGCGAGAGAAAAAGATTTCAACTTAATTAGGGCTGTCGCTCAGTGGGTTAAACATTTCATCGTGCAGAGCAGAAAACTTCCAAGAACAAAGTCTTCCAAAATATGAAAGATTTTTAACAAAAACTTACCGAAAATATATCTGTCACCATTATATTTACTCAATCCAATGTAAATATTAATTCCATAGTTTTCATAAAGTTCGGAACTTCGACTATAATCTGCAAACCAAGTTTCAAATGAACTTCTATCTTTCTCTTTGTAATGGACAGATAGCTTTCCCTCGGAGGTTTGGGTTATGGCACGATAGATGCCCTCGTTAGGCCTCTGAGCACAAGCAGTTGTATCTAAACTGACTGAGTCAACGTAAAGATAAAACATATCAAGACCATAACCAGAACCAGGCTTATTTAAAGCAGCGAGACATCCCTGTCTTTTTAGATTTAACATGGCACCATTATCACGAAACCGAAACTGGGCAGCTGGATCCAGACAGCTGTTGACGGAAAATTTCAGAAAGAACAAGTTTCCCGAACTACCGCTGGACTGTATTTGACCTGTGTCATTAATACAATGTGCTGAGGTAGAGCCATAGCTTGAGAAAAGTTTCACAAAGAAACAAGCTGCACCTGAAAAACAATGCAAAAGTGTGAAATAATATGGTGATCTCTTACTGTATAACTGTATTCTCTATTTGTTTTTATTTACACTTTGCAGTGTAAGTTTTGATATTTTCTGGGTAATCGGTTATTCAAAACTTTGTGTTTATTTTGTTCGTTCACAACAGTTACAAAAAGTTTAGGATCCTTGACCTTGCAGCTTGTGTATTTTTGCAAAGCGAGAACAAATGTTGCAAATTGCAATTATAAAGTTAGTTTACGCGTTTTTTAAATTAAACGAAAACTCTAGTGGCGCCATATACTTGCTCATATTGTGCTAAAATTGTACTATACTTTACTACAAAATGGCCGATTTTTCGAGCTCTAGAAAACGATTTTTCGAGCTCTACAAAAATCGGAGATTTGAATTGATGTCCTGAACCTTGACTTAGACATTATTAGGTCTTTGAAAGGTTGTGGTCACTTAACGTATGACGGAACCCGAATTAAATGGTCGCAGGATCTTCAATTACTAGAGAATTTCGTTGAAAATATTGTCGGCCTACGGGGCAATTGGTCATCGCCTGGTGGTAAAGCTAAGAGGTTTACCAGCGTAAATTTCAATCTGATCGCGACGTGGTACTCGGGCACACAGAATTCGCTATTATTCCAAGGAAAGGATGGTGATCTGCTCAATAATTATTTGGTGAGTGTCTTAGATATAACTTGTATTGGCCAAACAACCACGGATACGGACATTGATTTTATGACCAACATAGCGGATTCGGTATTTGAAACAGAGACTGCAGAGATATCTCCAGTTAAAACATGTGAAATTATCACTGACAATAACCCGGCAGTTGCTGAATCGACCCCGTTAAAACATCTCAGTTGGTCGTACAATACTTTTACCAACGATATGAAAGGGGTTAAAACAGACATATTTGAATGCTGTTCTTAGGGTTTGTAATCCAAGTGAGTATATATATATATACATTTTAAGACCTGACCAGGAACGACTGCGAAAAATGCAGCACAAAGTCCTCTGGTAGGAATTGAACCTACGCCCTGCGATTCCGGTGCAGCGCTCTAACCAACTGAGCTACAGAGGCCAGCTGATTTTTCGCAGTCGTTCCTGGTCAGGTCTTAAAATGTATACATATACTCACTTGGATTACAAACCCTAAGAACAGCATTCAAATATTAATACCACCAAGTGTAGTGCAAGAAACCAGATCATCGAAGTCCACCTTATCACAACCCGCACACCCGATCACCTATATATACATGAACTTACGGTTACACCTCAACAGCTGGCCTCTGTAGCTCAGTTGCATGGTTAGAGCGCTGCACCGGAATCGCAGGGCCGTAGGTTTAATTCCTACCAGAGGACCTTGTGCTGCATTTTTCGCAGTCGTTCCTGGTCAGGTCTTAAAATGTATATATATACTCACTTGCCGGATTACAAACCCTAAGAACAGCATTCAAATATTAATACCACCAAGTGTAGTGCAAGAAACGAGATCATCGAAGTCCACCTTATCACAAAACAGACATGGCTTAATTGTGGAGCGTAAATGTCTTCGTTATTAGTAAAAGAGAGATCTAAACTGGCTATGATTTCTTCCTCGCAAACTGCGTCTGAGTCTATACGAAGGTCTGCTCCTTTTATATCGCTAAAATTAATACTCGCAAGTCGCAACCGACAAATTTTCAACCTCTGTTGATAAAAGTGACTTTAACCACTCTTCAAGATTCTAAATTGTGAAACAATGAAGA